AAAAAAAAAAAAAAAAAAACATAGGTAACCTTGGATTTTGACTTAGAATAAGGTGTTAGGCAGGGATTCAAATCTTTGAGGAACATGTCATCTGGGCTGTCTGGGGTCGTGTAATCACCCGAGCTGTATACTTGATCAAACTGTTTGATAAAAGAAGTTTGGTAGCTTAAAAACAAATCGAATTTGATTGATTAATAATGAAATAGGATTATGGCAAGTAATATATAACCAATATAGTCCAGTAATTAATCACTTTTTATACTCATCTACATAAGGTATAAATCCGAAATGTCCTCTTTACCAGAGAATTCGCAGCGTCCTCTTGATCGTACGATGGTGTTCTTGGGGAGCTAAATTGATTATCGAATAATCCCCTTCCAGAGGAATACTTGTCTGCCTTCACCTGTTCACAGAAAAACAGTGGTTAAGTTACAGCTAATCTTCGTTAAGGTATTATACATCAGATGCTAATATTACCTCGTCCAAAAAGACCACTACTTAATTATTGGAAACTAGGAAAGGAATGGAAGCACACTGTTTTGTTCGCCACAGATCGTTCACTTCACTTAGTGGTCAATAAACCTGAAGATTATCGTATACTTTTACAGAAAACCAAGCCGCTTCGTCCTAAATAACTTTTTTTTTAGCGTTTCTTGAATTTAAAAGCACTAAAGTTGTAGTGTTACATTAAAGAATAAAAAAAATATCAACATTTCTTCCTTATATATAAGTAACGAGCTAATGATACTATTTATGCAGCCCCACCACTTAAATCTATTTTTGCACAACACTGTAAGAAGATATATGGACAAATAGAGCGTCTGGTTATTTGAGTGAGAGTGTGATTACTACCTCAGCAAGATCCTCGGCAAGACATTGCAGTTGGCCTGTAAGAGAAGTGACCTGTTTCTGAAGACTTGGAATTAGCTGTTTTGCCTGTTTTAGCTCTGACCCCTGCTTATCCAATAAGTCCTGAAGTTGCGAGTTCAAAACATCTGGGAAGAGAATAGCGCTTTTTAGAGACTTTATCTCTTCCCTTTGCTTCAAGCACAAGTCTTTCAATTTCTCAACCTGCAAATCGCATAATATATTGCTAAGCAGAATTCAAAATGGACATGTAAAAGTAAGAGTATATGATTCCGCCAGAAAGATCCTATAATATCAGAGATCAAACTATTCACAAAACTTATCAAAGCTATCACAAATGTACCCTATCACATCACCATAAATAAAAATCTAAAATCACTTCCTATAAATTCAAAACATTTCCAATTCTACTAAACACTACAAGAATTCACATGCAATAGTATCGGTTCACAGATCATTAATATCACAGAAGTTTTTACGAAAGCATTTTCCTGCAACTAAATTTGTTTGATCTTTCTTTAAAAACTGCAAGTACAAGAAAAGTACCACAGTTCTTTTCTGACATAAATTCGCCTACATAGTTGCATTACCCGCAATACCTACAACCTATTTGAGACCTCATCATAGATTTCGGATCCAGAATTAATTTCTTCAACCGGTGCCTCAGAATTTCCAATTCTACAATCTTCAGCAAAGATGTTGCAACAACACACCTCAGCCTTTATCATTTTACAAGAAAAATGCCATGTTACCAAATTCACACTCAGTCTTCCACACTATCAACTAGCACTAGCCCACATTCACTTGCTTCAAAAGCTTGGGGTTTCATCATTTTCCCGGAAAACGAAAAGGGCAAAAAAAGACTCCACCTTTAATTTCATTCACCTTTTCTTTCAAGATGATTGCAGAACAGTATGATGTACTCAATCACCGTAAGGCTTATATCAGTTTCATTGGCTTACAAGTTAGAACTGAGGATTTTAGGTATACTAAAACAATCCCAAAGAGCTTCTACCGACATGCAAACTAAATTTTCAAACGCTTGATTTCCTATTTGAGCTCGCATTTTAATTAATTGTGGCCGGTCTCATTATATGACTCAACAAAAGTAACAGAGAAAAATACAATCATTCAAGTTCATGATCCGAGTTACGATTTTCCATTTCCAAACACACTCAATAAACCCAAATGCAACCAAAATAATCCAAACTCCATAAACAACAATCCCAATTAAACAACAGAAACTCAAAACACAAATTCTCACCTCTCGATTCTTTTCCTCGAGCAACATCTTGAGCTCCGAAATCTCCTCCTCGTGCTCCTTGTTCTGAATCAATAGCTCCCTCTCACTCCTCAGCACCATTGCCAGAGTCCTCGTGTTGCTCTTCACCTCAGTCAGCGCCTTCTTACAGCCGTCGTCTACCCTTTTCGGCCCTGACGACGACCCGGAAGACGACCCTTTGAACAGCTTCTTGTGGAGCCCACCCAATCCGGCTGCCCTCTTCGGATTCTTCTTCAGATCGGCCGCCACGAGGTCGGAGGCCACCACGAACTTGGGTCCCCTGTCCGAATTCTTGGCCGTTTTCTTGCTCTCCACCAGTTTCCTGACCATGGAGGTGAAATTCACCGGAGCCGCCTCCTTTTTCTTGGTCAGGGCGCGTGAGGAAGGGAACTCGGCCGACGACGAGGGGTCGGACTTCGTGGAGCTGTTGAGGCTGTTGTTGTAGCGTGTTGCAGGCCTGATTGAAGCC